CATTTTGATTAGCAGGGTTATCACTAGTTGGGTTAACATCAGGGGCAGGACTAGTGGGTGTATCATCATCCGGTTGAGTTTCATCAATTCTAATTTCCTTATCATCATTTTCATCAATAGTTAGATTAGAACAAAGAGCATCCATTAATTCATTATCTAATTGTTTACCAGCTGCAATATTATGGCAAAATTGACTCTCAGTAAATTATAATAAACTATTATTGCTATCAAGAATAGTAGGTGTAGGACGGATATGGGGTTTGGTTCGGGGAGCCAGGGGCAGTGGAGGAGGAACAAATTGATCACTAGATTCGCCACTCTTGGAGTTTCCCTTATTTTTATCAAAAAATTTTTTTTAAGGAAGCCATCTTAATTAATCAAGTAATAAAAAATAAATAAAACAAACAAAATTATAATATTAAAACATAAGAGTTGGAATGAGTTTACTGAATTGACGAACAACTTGTTGAAAATTAATTATCATTGAAGACTTCAATTAACCAACTTCATAATTCTTTTACAAATTATAACAATAAAGTAAGCAATAGTAGCAATAATAGAAGAAAATTAGAGAGAGATTGTGATAGATTGATGATTTTGTAAGAAAAATAAAAGAATGAGGGGGTATTTATAGATGAAAATAAGGAAAAAGTATAATTATAAAAAATTTGGGATTAAAACAAAGTTGGGTAGGAGGGGGGTTAAATGGTTATTTTGTAAATAGCCAACGACTATTTTATGACAGCCAACGACCAGATTTTAAATTCCACAACGGCCAGATTTTTATTTTTTTTGAAATTTTACCATTGGGACCGTTTGTCCTTCCAGGGACCGGTCCGGTCCTGGTCCTAGTGGTCCCAATCTGTAGAACCGACCCAGAAGCCTGGACCAGGCCTACGAATACCGATCCTACGAGTCCTAGCCCGTTTGGCCCGCGGTCTTGGGTCGATCCCGATCCCGGATCGACCCACTTGCCACCCTTAGGTGCTGGTCACAGAAGATGGTATATATTATACTTTTAACAAGCAAAAGGAGATCATAGGACCACCGCAAAGTATAATGATAAAACTGGTAAAATAGGACAACCTCAAAGAGTAATTATATATTATCCTTAAACTTTTGCTCTAATATTAGAAAAAACGCAAATGTTTGCTTATGAGAGCTCCAATTTGAGGGTAAGTTTAAATAATAGTCAAAAAAAATTTGGTAATAAGATTTAAATATATTACCAAACAACCAAAACATCAATTTACACATAAAGAGTGTTCACTACTGTTATAAAACCAGTAATAGAGCCTCCATCACTCTCTAAAAAAATATGGCTACTAGCTACATATCCTATCAATTAGAAATCTAGTTTTTCTTGCTTCCTTAGTACCCCTCAACATCTCAATTCTTTCCCTTATTATACTTTATATTTGCTGCAAAACAAAACTATTATCTACAATGTCCTCTAAATTATTTCCAGTTTCGTGCTTGCCATATTTGATTAATTCCCGCTCCATATGTCGCTTCCATGATCTTCTTCTTAAAGCTGCTCCAATGTTTCCTATTGATGTTTTGCATTGTATACGCCACCTCTGGACACTATATGTTGAGAGCAATCCATTGCTTTATCATTGTCCATAGCTGCCCCGACCAAGTACATTCATGAAATAATAGTCAAAGTTGATGGGGCAAATATGGACCTTTTTTAGGAATTCAGATATATGAAGTCCACCTATTTCGTGCTAGAGTATATAATAGGGTTAAGTACGAGACAATTTGCTAATAGCAAAAGTTTAAATGGACCAAAAGTGTAAATAAAGGCACATTGAGCCATTTCGGATTGTACAGAGGCAAACTTAGACGTTTATCCAATAAATTTTACTACATATTAGAGAATTACTTTAAAAGTAAAACAAATTATAAATAAATTATATGTGGTTTGACTTCATAAATAATGGAGTAGTAATATTGTTAGTAATTTTTTGAAATTATTTTGGAACAATTATTTTCAAAGAATTTTTCAAAATGAAACTCCAAATGAACTTTTGGGGGTGGAATTATGGTAATTAGCTTTTATTTTTGTCAAAAGAGTTAAGAAAATTAAAAGATTGTTTTTTGGCCAAAATCTTAGATAGGCCCTTAAACTTGACACTTTTTGTAAAATAAACATATAAACTTTTAGGGTGACCAGTAGACACTTAAACTCGGCCAAAGTGTAATTTTTAAACACCTCTGTCCATCTTGGCATACCGCGTGTTGTATGTTTACTGATGAGCGCGTGAGAACTAATTTAAAGTTATTGACTCACAAAATTAACGGTAAAAAAGTCTCTTTATATAACCCATACCCTCTATACTTTTTCCCAACTATTAAAAAAAGCCCTAACCCCTAATATTCCTCTTCACCATTGCTGAAAACACCATTGAAGCTAAAAAAATTACAGAGGTCATTTTGTGTGTTTTCTTCTTCATCTATCTTAAATCACAGTAAAAGTTTTCATATATTTTTCTCTCTAACCTGTTATCTTCCTTCTCCAAACAAGTTGACGATGAGACTAAGTAATGAGGGGAAAATTTTATTTTGTGTGTCATACGACTGACACTAATTATATGAGACATCTTTTTTATCTCACAATTTTGTGGACCCAGATTTATATGGACCCAAAAGAGTAAGATTGGGGTCCACAAATTCATGAGACAAAAAGGAGTCTCACATCAGACAAACAATAAAACTTCTCGTAATGAGGCTATGATCTGTCATTGCGGGGAAAAGGTAGTATTTAATCATTTTTTTTGTTCTTGTTTGAAGAATGTTTCTAATCCATGTGAAGAATATTTTGTACTACAACTTTGAGGGTGTTTGGATCAGCTTATTTTAAATGCTTATTGGCTTTTAAGCACTTTTTTAGTTTGTGTGGTATTTGACAATGATAAAAAGTACTTAAAACACTTATGTTTAGGCATAAAAATACAAAAATAAGCCAAAAGTTGGGTATTACCAACTTATGGCTTTTGGCTTTTAGCTTAAAAGCTACTTTTTATAAGTCAATCCAAACAAATAAATAATTATAAAATAACTTAAGACTACAAGGTTGAGATATCTTATAATCACATAAATATTATTATTACATATTTAAAATTTAAATTTAAAAAATAATAATTTTATGTCTAAGTCAAACTATATACGGTTTATAAACTGAAACTTAAAGAAGTCTAATTAAGGAGGTCAAAGGCAACAAGCTGAGATACCCATTACTGCCAAAAGGTGAGTTAATCTTTTTTTGAGAAAAAAAAATTAAAAAAGACTATACCCATTATGTCAGAAAAGGCTAACAAGGGTTACCCAACTAGCCAATAATAACTCCTCGGTCCTCAGTCCTCAGTCCTGTGAAGGGAAAGAGAAAGCCCAACGATTCCATCACCACAGCCTTCAGAAGACTACTGACACCAATAATAGCACATAAATGGCCATCTTGCAATGGCAGTACTCCACAGATTATTTGACCACTGGGCCATCTTTGACCGGTCCTTTTGCTATGCCCTACACATTTTGCTCACAGGTTATACTCACTACTCTACTTTTATCACATTTCTACAAATAAAGATTATTGGAAGGTAGAAGCGGCAAACGTGCGGATCGGATCAGATGTGATCCGGGTTGAAAATATGTAATAAAAATAGATAAATTATTCGACTCGATCCATATTTAATATGAATAAAAAATAGGTTAACCGGCAGATAATATGGGTAACCATATTATTCATGAATTTTTGCATATGATCATTTTTTGGGAGAATTCTTAGGATCCGTTTGGCCCTAGATTTTGTCAAAATATATTTGAATTTTTTTTTGGCAAATACATGTTTGGCCATAGATTTTATTAACATTTTGGCAAATTTCCAAAACCCAAAACCCACCAAAATATCATTATTACATTTTTTAAAAATTGCCTCAAACTTTTATTTTTGATAAAATAGCCCACCATTTATTATGTTATAACAATGTTGCTTCGTCTTCTTGGTCATATGATAATGTATTATTTAGTTCATTATAAGAATAATAATTTTGTACCAAATTTATTTATATTCAAAACTATGGTTTGCGATAATATAATGAATGTTATTGATAAAGGTATTGTTGGGTATTTGTGATAGTTTTTAGAACTTGTGTATATAAGTGATGTTCATGTTTCTTCAAAAAAAAAAGTGAAATATATTTTGAAAACTTATGTCCAAACACATTTTTATCTTCAAATCAAACTTCACTCAAATAAGATTTTTCAAAAAAAAAAAATGAAAATCTATGATCAAACGCTAGCTTAATCTTACTAACTTGAGGAACCCCAATTTGAAGCTTTACTAATATAAAAGTTAGACTCATTGGTTATCTCCTACCGATAGATTTAAAAGATAGAATCATTGTTATAATAATTTATGGACATCTCAACTATTCCACTGATATTTGGTATTTCCCATTAGAATAGACACCGCATATCTCTATCAATCAATACTTAGACAAATAAAATGAAAATTATTTACTGAAGAAAATCACGTGTACAAAATTAGTAGATACAAACGTGAGTGTAAACTTTTAAGATTCGGGTTCAAATAAAAACGAAACAAAAAAATATTAGCTAGTGATTTCTTCCTATTTGCTTAAGCCTTAAATTGAATTGGGACCGTTGCAACAATAGCGTGGAAAACTAGTGTTTGCCTTCATCAACGAGCGAAGTATATATCCCTCCAGTTTCTGCTACTGCCCCACCAGGTCCATACGGAAATCCTCGCCTTAATTACTCCATTTGGCACAAACATTCAACTATTGAAGACAGTTTACTCAAAATATTACTCCAATAAAAAAGTGTATACTAAAAAGATCATAAAATTGCATTAATGGATATTATTACAGACAAACCTTCTGATTTGGTATTACATGAGAGAGATCTTGAGATGTAACCTCGATATATTATGTGGAACATTATCCACAAAATGAAACAAGATACATGAATTAATGATAATCAAGTTCATCAGATATATGTACATTAAGCAACTGTGATTAATAATAGTCTACCTAGTTATACCGATTACTATATGTTTACTTTGAAGTCCTTTTCCATAATCAATTCATAATGAGGAAAAGGAAGGGGGAGCCTTGGCGTAAAGTTGTTGACACATAACCAGGAGGTAATGAATTCAAGCCGTAAAAACAGCCTCTTATAGAAATGCAGGGTAAGGCTGCGTACAATAGACCATTGTGGTCCGGCCCTTCCCTGGACCCGTGCATGGCGGAAACTTAGTGCACAAGGCTGCCCGGAAAAGAATTACTGTAATACTAGGTAGCTATTTAGGGGGAGCAGCTTGGTTCTTATTGCCAGCTAAAGAAAGGATTGAATTGGCAAGTCTATTAATAGAATCAACAAGTCCGTTGATGCCTTGTCTATTGATCTCAGCTTTTGATTCCTCAATTTGCAGCCTTCTCTCATGCAAGCTTAAGAGTTCTCTGTGCCTTCTCTCCTCTCTCTCTTCAGAAGCTTGAATTGTTTCTGCTATAATAGCAGCACTTTTGAAGATAGCAGAGCCAACTTCTTGCAAATTGTTTATGTTGTTGTTATTACCACTACTTGTTCCTTCTCCTTCACCCTTTCTTCTTCTCTTGGCTGGTGAATCTGAATGCTCACTTCTATCAGGATCTGAGCTATCACACATCTCCAAAACATAAACACATGTAAATTAAAGACTATATCAACACTAATTTGATTTGAGTTTAACTTTGATAAAGTATTAATTAGTAACATAAAATAAATAGTAAATAACCAGCTATAACACAATAAACTACACATAATGGTGCAAAAATTTAAAATATTATCAATATATGAAACTTAAATTTCATAATATTAATATGTAACAAGCATGATTTGATAACCTACAAATTGTGACAAGAACCGTGTTGTATCAAGTAAAATTAGATTGGTATAAGAATTTTTTTTCTTTCTGATACATAATTTAAAACAATTAGATATTAGGTGATGACTAATCTTGTGGTTAAAACAGTAAAACAGTTAACTTATTCCTAGGCAGATGTGTGAGATTGAAATAAATGCAAGCAATGTCTAGTTCCCAACCTCACCCAAGAGGCCAAGAGACATAAATACAAAGAGAAAAAAGAGTGGAGAGAGAGAGAAGAGAACTTAGAAAAAACAAAAGGGAACTGAATGCACAAAGAAGAGAGGCAATCAAGATTAATGATATTTTGCAGGCTGTGGAGAACAACAGCACTAGGATCAGTTGGTGAATCTTAAGAGTTCAATGGCAGAGATAGAGAACAACAAACTTATATTAGCTTAAATATACATAAAACAAAGAGTTTGTCTTTGGATTATACAAAACTATTGCTATATAGTGTAGACTAAATATGATTATTTCATGTTGGAAGAAAGAAAAGGATGTTATGGTACCAATTAGATGTTCTAAAAAGCAAGATTCAAAATGCAACACCAATGGGTCAAAAAGCTTATCTTTCGGAAGATATCAAGTTAACCAACAACAACAAACCAAGTATAATCTCACAAGTACAGTATGGGGAGGATAATGTGTACGCAGATCTTCACCCTACCTTTCCGATTCGATATCAAGTTTACCAATATAGACATTATATCCAAGTAGGGTTTGATTGCTACTAGATTGAGTAAGATTGTCTATTCAATCTTTTTATGAAAATGTTTTGAGTTTTATGCAATGTAAAAAGTAGCTACAAAAATAATGTCCCTTAATTAAAATGTAATAATTACAAATAAATCTCTATGCAAAACATTAACTAGTAGCCTGATAATATAACTAACCTTCATTCACACATTAAGGTAAATTGATAGTGTCAAAAAAATCATTCAAATATCAGAGGATACAACTAATTATAATTTAATGGAAATTTAAAGTGGGAAAAGAGTACCTACTGCAGGTAAAGGTCGAGTGTAAGGAAGACTAGGTGGCTGAGCTGATTGTTGTGCTACTACTGCTGGTGGTGACAATGTTGGTGGTGGTGGAAGTGGCAAAGCTGCAATTTGAGCTTGAAAAGATTGTTGTTGCAATGTGGGAGACAAAGAATTAGTCAAACTTGTGCTTTGATTTAAAGGAGCAGCAGCAGCAGAAGTACCACCACCACCACCCACTAGCAATTTTTGAGTACATTTTCTGTCCACAACTTGAACCAATGCCTCATAAATCTCAGGCAACATATTAGTTGGCAAATTCTTCTCTTTCCTTTCACTCCTCTCAATCTTCCAATATGACTTGATAATTATTTCTTGATTATTATTATTATTATTATTACCATCATCTCCTTTCTCAGCCACTCTTCTTTCATATTCCCTCACTTTCTTGAAAACCCTCATGAGATTATCCCACTTGTCATTGCACTGATTTTGGCTCCTCAAACACCCCATTTTCCAACAATAATCCTCCACCCATTTCCACCTTAGTTCTCCTGGTTTATTTCCCCTAATTTCAGTACTAGTACCCTCCCCTTGCCTTTTCATTCTCCTTTCATCATCCATCTTCTTTGCTTCTATTAAAACCATAGTTTCTTCAACTGTCCAATTCCCTTTTCTGTACTCCCTCAACATGTTACTTCCTCCACTTTGATTACCCACCACCCTATCCATGCAAAAGAAATCAACTTTAGGCAAAAAGGAATAAAGGGTGTTCTTTTTTCTTTTCACTCTCGGCTTTTGTCAAAGAAAATTGTTACGTATTTCAAGAATGAGGGTTTTGGGGGGTGTTAATTACATGGTGTTTAAAGGTTTAATTTCATGTGGCTGGTTTTGAAGTTTGCAAATGGAAATGATGAGAAGGGAGTAATAAAAAGGAACTGGCAGTTGCAGTAATATAAGCACCATATCTTTTCTTCTACCTTTTTCTTGAAAATTAGATGCCTTTATTGAGAGCTATTCACTTTGAAATATGTAGCATGGCACTCTCCTAGCTAGATCCCCTTAAAATTTTCAAAAGATCTTGAAAAGTAAAAGTTCAAATCTAAAACTACTGATTTCTACCACTATATACCTCCACAAAGTTGTGCAGAACCAAATGAAAGAATAGATAGCGAGAGGGGTTTATGATGTAGGCATAATGGGGGGTTTTGAAGCTAAGCAAGAAATAATAAATACTCCTGCTTTATTACTTTTTCGTTTCAATTTATGGGATGTTAGTTTGGCTAAAACAAAATTTCAAAAAAAAAGTAAAAATCTACAACAATCACAAAATATTTGTGTGACTTTATTTCATTAAGGAATTAAGTAAAAATTTAAAATTAAATTATTTTTAGATATAAAAAATGTCATTTAAAAAAAAGTAGTATCAATATAAGAAAGGGCCAAACAAATCCATTCAAACTGACACATTTACAAGCCCAAAAAATTTTCTTGCAGAGGAGGTGAGTAGGGTGAAGTGAGATGGGATTCGAAAGGTAGAGGGCTTAATAGTCATTTGCTGCATGGACGACAGAATTTAATGAGCATAATCACACACGAGGGCTAAGCCAACCGTCATCATAGCACCAAGATTTGTAGAGGGACATAAAAGGATTTTCTTAAGTGGTAATTTCTGTTTGAGTCTTTAATTTGAGATAATATTTTTTGCATGAAGAAAGCAGGTGAAATTTGTTTTTTCTTTTTAAAGTTAAATAATATGTTTGACCATTTACGATTTGAGATTTTTTGCTGAAATAAAAAATGAGTACCGGAGACAAAAATAATCACAGTTACAGTTTTTGTCACAAAAAAATTAAATTAGCTCCACGATAACTAGATTTTCAGTATAAATAGAACGGTGCAAAAGGAAGAACTTTATCAATTTAGGGTTAAAAAACTTACTAACAATAATATTCAGTTATATGTAAACGAAAAACAGAAGTTAAATCCCTTTTTACGATTGTAAAATTTGACCTCTTTGGAAAAGCCGAACCAAATAAAGCACAAACATAACAATGATTAGGGTTTACTAGTTCTTTCTTACCATGCAAAAAATAGTAAATTAATATTGTCAATGGATCTCTGTTGTACTCATGAATAGCGGTGACAAAATAGATAAAATAAGACAGTTATCTTCTCATATTATTTATTAAAAAATGTATTGGATAATGAACTGTTTAAAAAATGATTAAATATAAATAAGAATCATATTATCCACTTAGAAAATGAATAACCAATAAGTTTAACTTTTACAGTTGTAAAGTCTCGAATTTGGAGCTTCTCGTGTTTGGGAAACTAGGAATTCTACCAAAAATAATCATATTCAAGAAGCCACATGGATAATATGTCCAATTAATTTATTTTTTATCCGTATTAAATATGAATCGGATCAAATAATTTATCATTTTTGCATTACACGTTTTTTATCCGTTTCATATCTGACCCGAACCAACAAAAAACGACTCATATATGCGGCTGAAGGTTGTTGTGGGTGGTATATATCCTTTCCTTCTTAATTAAAAGTGTCAGATTCCAACTCTAAAAATATAATCGTCTTCGATAGGGTGTACTTTACTCTCAAAATAAAATTTTGAATACAAATCTGAACTGTTACGATAAATATCATATTATGGTGGATGTCTACTTTTCCTGGTATGATCTTCCTGGATGTCTACTCTTCCTGACATGATCTTCATGTCAAATGCTTAATGACATATTCACTGATATATTTTTCATGTTCAGTGACATATTCTATGACATATTTTCTTCACTTTTCATGCTTATATAAAGGTCTTATAATAGATAGGAAAATACACACAATTGAAGAAGAAAATCTCTTCCTTCTCTCTATCTCCATTTCTTGTTCATGTTTTACTAAATTGCTTTTATTTCCTTGTTCCATATTGCTACTTTGAGTTATATTTCATAATACGTTATCAGCACGAGTCTCTAACCAATTCTATATATATCTACAAACTTGTCCTACATCCGAAAAAATTGCAATAAGAAGTCATACATATCATTTCATGGTTGAAAGTAAAGAGAAACTACATATGGTAAGTAATGAAACATAAAAAGGTATGATTATCTTATACTTGTCATTCCTCCAATGTCTTGTATGCACACAACTTCATACCATACATGTATTACATAAGCACATATTAATATTACATCTTTCATATCACATGAATGGAATAAAATTTTCGAAGTTCTATATGTAAAAATCATAGTAGCAGTTAATTGTTGATATGAGGCATGTCATGGTAACCAAGGATATGTTATATAAGTTGTCTTATGCATATTTGTGTGTTAACTATCTTAAATTTGTCCTACCGCTTTTAACATTTTCTTTTACTTGGATGAATATTTTTTCCTTTTGAATTTTTACACTTGCATATAATACCAAAAAAAGGGGAGGATAAAAAAAAATGTCATACTGATTAGAAGCATAAATCATCTTTAAGAAAATAAGAAATACTTCATATCTTTATTTAGGTTGATTAATTATTTCTTTGAAATTTGGAAAATAAATCAACTACTGAGAAAGTAGACTTCATAATTTATGGTCGTATCATTTGAAAGCAAACAGTGATTAGTATGACTACTAGAAGAGGTATTTTCGAGTATCCATGATCTACTTGATGCTTTCTACTGACTTACCATTTTCAAGTATTTTATATGAATGATGCATAAGCTACAACTGGTAAGTTGTTACTTATAATGTCACTTTTCAGGTAATATAAATGTTGAATTTATATATTAGTACTATATATGTGTTGTTACCTATATGTTGTACTTTTGATAAATTTATTCACTAATTGCTTGGTTGAATTGAGTGAAGGAAAGTCATGGCGTTAAATCAAATCCAATAGGTAGGGTATACCCCGAAAACAACAATATTTTCGAGAGAGACTCAATAAATATTATGACTATGATTTTATGATCCAATTAAACTCTAATAGAATTTAGAAGAAATATTCTGACTACAAACAGTTGTATTTCATATAGATGCTACAAATAATTGATAAAGCTTTACTCTGATTTGAGATTTGTACACTTATTTAAGAAAACAAATTTGATTTGTTAAGTTGCAAATTAGTTGTGTATAACTTTATTGGCATGTGATTGAAATTAAGGATTGAGAATGAATCTCAATATTGTTTAGCCTATTATGTCATTGATTGAGGGTAAGACATCGGGATCAAGTCCTGATACTCATAATGATAAGAGTTGGGTTTGAATCCCAATTTATTATGGTCTAACATGTCTTTATATTGGTAAGACATTGGGTTTGAGTCCCAATGTACCATATTGATGATATAATGATGACTAAAGAAAAATAATATATTTTTCATGAAAAGGCATGAAGATTGTCTCACTTGATTAGCTCTATTCTTGAAGTGAATGTGGTAGCAGTGCATAATAAGTCTAAATGAAGACAAGTGGTTGAACAATGAACGTGAGTGTTCCAAATAATAATAATCATCACAATAATTATAAAAGGAGAACAATAAGGGTTCTCAAAATAGTCCTTCAAAATGTGAAGGCAATGTTTACCATCAAATTGGTATGAAGCACATTGCTCATTATGATCCATTCCTTGAAGAGAATGTGACTTGTGATAAGCATTGAGAATGCTGACCCATTCCTAAAGGTGAATGTGGTAATATGTGATAAAAGTAATGAATAAAGACATGCAAGGCATGATTGGATGAATAGCACATAACTCACTTTTAAGGGAGGTTTGAGTAAAATAAAGAGAATAAATATTATTGTGTGGCTACATGAATATGTCATTGGTCTCGTACATGTGATACGCCAAAATATTTTGGCATGCCTTATAAAAAATTATTAAAGGCAAAATTAAAGCAAGAAATGATTTTGCTTATGATAATTTTGTCCATGACAATTTATTATGATATAATTTTTTCAGTGAAGGAGACATTTACCATATGAATGGTATGATAAAAGATCTTGTAGTACAAAAGTTGTTAAGAGCTCCGAAAAAACTAATTTGTTACTAGCCGGATGAATAAAATTATTCATGACATTGATATTGTAAAGTCGCAAGAGAAACTTTTTGAATTTCAAATGTATAAGTCAAAGTGATTGGCATATTGAGACTATAAATGAAAGGAAGATTGAATATCTTCATATTTCTATAATCATACCGGGTAAATATGAAAGATTACCCGATTTCTTTCTATTTGTACTACACAAATATAAGCATGATGTTGGAATTATATGCCACAAGTAAACTATAGGTTTACTAAAATAAATATTAGTTGGCATGACCGGTTGACCATCCCGGTTCAATTATGATGCAAAAAATTAATTAAGAATTACATTGATATATATTGAAGAATAGAAGATTCTTCAAGAATTCTCTTGTGCTGCTTATTCTAATGATATACCTGTTAAGGTTGGGATTGAATCCCTTGATTTCTGGAACGAATAAAAGGTGATAAATATATGGACCCAGTCACCTACGATGTAGACCGTTTACTATTATATGATTTTAATAGATGCATCTATTTTATGGTCACATGTGCATTTGTTATCAACTTGCAATTTGACTTTTGCAAGATTGCTTGCTCAAATTATTAGAGCACAGTTCCAGAATATAAATTATGATGATTTATCTTGATAATACTGGTTTAAATCCAAGTTGGTTTAGCGAAAATTGTATGCCTCCAATTATAGATAAACCATTGGTTATGAGAACAAAACTCCCAAAAATGAAATTTGGTATGAGATGTATTATTTAACATACACCAACACTTGTACGCATTTAGCCATGTTATGAAAAATTTTCCCTATCACAATCGGTTCAGGGTCAGGAACCAAATAATTTCTATATAGAAATATGAATATGCTATATGGTTTAATTATGTCACCACAATGCACAAAGATGGGTTCCCAAAGAAGGTTGGGAAATATGTTGGTGATCCCAATATTAGGGGGAGAAAATGGATAGCTGAGAAAGTGATACGTGAAATGAATTATTATGAATACATATAGATCCTCGTACAAGAAAATATGAACTTGAAGTTCAAGTGATAATTAATTTATAAA